ATATTGTAACGAATCTCCTTCGTCTGTCAGGATAATTAGGCCTATTTATGAGCGTCAGGGTTCGGCGGTGGTTGTACACCACCGACTTCACTAAACTAATCAAATAATACAGACACAATTTGAATTCACGATCCACGTGAGGCAAGTCAGTTTTTATTTCCAAAGCAACTATTCTAGTACTCACCCTTCATAGGGTCGTAGTATTCGTAAAGTAAACGTGCAACCTTGATGTAACAATGGAAGATCAGTATTAACGGGAGTCTCTTCAGTACCGTATTCGTTTCAGGGCTATCTAGGAACCAACTGAAGTCTCCCCCCATGTAGTGGGCTTATTTGCATAACTTTCCCATTCCCACAAGGGCCAATCAGAACGTGGCTTACAGCTGTCTAATTAATTGGGCTACCATCCCTCAGGGCTGTTCCAACAACTGGGGAGACATTTCGTTACAATATATACATATATATTTATATATACATACGAAGTAAGGAACATTGCCTCTTAATACTTATAGGTATAGGCCTACCCTAATAAGAAGCAATCGGTCTAATAACATTGTACTTAGGCAGTTATAGTTTGATATAATTGAGCTTTTTTCTTGTTTGTAATATTAGTGTAGCAGACTTTAATTAAGTGTTTTTGTGAACTTGAATTTTTGTAGAAGCGTGGACGAGTGCCACTGTTTCAAAATCGTGTGCTCAAACAAATTTGATTTGATATCGTAGTATCAATCACTAAGTTTGACGCCCTCTATGTATAGAATAACACAATTCCATCCGATGCTCCTATTCGCGCACTGTTATTATTAAATATCTATTTTTTATTATATATAATAATTATATATATAATTATTATATAATGAACAGGGCTGTGAATGAATAATGTATTATGCTGGATCACTCTATTGCAACCGATGAGTGTACGGTAATTCCTTATAACGAAAGGAGGTTATAGCCAATACAGGTCTCTTTCTAAATTAAAGACCCTTCAAAAGACCACCTACAGTTAAAGACAAGTTTTTTTTGGTCATAAAATATATGAACAAAATCATATCTTTATTATTCTACAACAAAAAGCTGCTAAAGACCACAGACCCAAAGGTGGTCTTTAATTGGAGGAGACCTACTGTACTTAATGTCTAAGTAGTATCGGTATTGTAGAGTGGACTAATAGATATGGTA